TAATAATTATAATAATGATGATAATAATAAATAATGGTAATTATATAATAATTATAATAATAATAATAATAATAGTAGTAATTATAATTTTAATAATATAATTATTATTATTATTATAATTTAATAATAATAACAATAAGAAGAATAACTATAATAATTATAAAGTAATAATAATAAAATATAAATAATAGTAATTATAATAATAATCATAATAATAATAATAATTTTTATATATATATTTATATATTATTTTTACTATTATTATTATTATTACAATTATTATTATTATTATAATAATTATTATTATCATTATATATTTATATCCATCCGCAAGTCTTTCGTTTTTTTGCATCAATTTTAAGAAATAGGTCGCGATATGCTGTGGGGGTCATAGAAGATATAATTGAGTACTTTTCATATCGTCGGCCCATTAATCCTTGGAAAATACTGCTTGGATTTCGACCAAACCTTCACACAAGGTTACTTCTATACCAATGGCGAAAAGGCTTGAAAGATTTTGAAATTCAGTTTAGTGGCGGCCGAGAAAAAGACCAAAAACGAAAAAAAATAGAAACTTGTTTTTTTGATGTTTTAATGGCTCCTGATCTTTTTGAAAACATTTTTGGGGTGAAAATGGGGAATGAGGGTTGTAAGGGCTGGGAAAGAATAAGTCAATTTTGCATATTAGTATAATAAACACTTCCAGCCGCAGTAATTCTGCACACCTATTAGACATATTTCCACCTCATAGATTTTTGCCCGTACATTTAACCTTAAGAATCAGAAAAATATTTTCAGCAGACGGCTATCGGTCGCACATGACTTACGACATTTGGTTATTTATAATTATGCATCTTTGATATTTGATTGGAGTGACGTATAAAGATCTAATCGCCATCAGCGCGGTAACATACGTGGTGGGCGCGATAGATGCTTGGAGTGTAATCCAATGTGGTTATTTGATTTCGTGACATAATGCTATATAGTATATGATTATGTATCATGAGCTATATTATATTCAGTTATCAATCATTGTTGACAAACAGAGTTTTATAACAGAGTTCTGAAGCAATGGGACTCTCTGCTATGGACACGCTCATTGCTGCCATCTGAGGATTTCTTTCTTTCATGAAAACCCATATCGTGCATTACTAGTTCGTTTGAAAGCTATGTCAACCTGATTTACGCAATTTTTTCTGGGATGGCGTGGTTTACTCTCGATTGTATTGATTGGTTTTCATATTGAGATAAAAAGTTGTCTGTGTCTATTACAAAATTTGACGTACATTTTTACTTTCAGGTAGTATTCTTCGCCATCATCGCCCTGGCTGTAGCCGCTCCAGCTCCCGAGGCCGCTCCTGAAGCCAAGGCTGTCCCTGAGCCTAAGGCTGCCCCTAAACCAAGTGTTCTCGCCGCTGCATACACCGCTCCAGTTGGCTGCCCCTGCTGCATATGCCGCCTATCCCTATGCTGCTCCCCTGGCATACTCTAGCTACATAGCTGCACCCTCTGTCTACGCCGCTGGATACAGTGCCTACCCATACGCTCCTACCGTTATCGTTTGATTTTGTTGATATAGGATAGAAATAAAATGTTTGTTGAAGTTTAGTTTGTGTTTTCGCTTTTTATTGCGCTTGCCAGGAGAATATAGCGACAACTTGTGCTCCAGATTAGGGACGAAGATGGAGGATTTGGCATTGAATTAGAACTCTATAAATTATGACAACAGACATCTAGTGACTGATGTTCTATGATGGGCCGTCTCTTGAATTATTGTCCACCCACGAGGTATATTCTTAAATTCACCGGTTGAGCTACCGGTGCAACCGGTTAGCCAAGTTTGCGTCCTTTAATTTCCACTGGAACGACCGGTTGTAGATCAAACTTGTCTCTATATTGATGGTGGATATGCCACCGGTGCCAACAGCATCCACCGACGTTCGGGCTCGGTTGATCCACGATATTCTAGCATCTACATTTTATCAGTTTTTGACAACTACAGTTTTGTGTGAAAAAATGGAAGAAGAAAAGATTGAAGTTAGCAGCTTAGGAGTCGCGTGAATTTAATGTTTTTTTTCAACACAAATTGAAATAAACAGAGCATCTGAAGCAAGTCAATATGTTTTGAATTATGCATATCGACGATCTCATATTAATACCCTCGAAGTCCGAAAATGTCGATTTTCTGATTTTGTTCTGTTTTTATTCCTGTATGAATACAGGAATGCTCTCAGAAAATCCATCCGATGGTTCTTATACGGGAAGCGTCGACCGTTCTCAATCAATGCCTCGTATTGATTTGAGATCGTCGATATCTGAAAAATTTCTTGGTTTTCTGATTTATAGTTCTTATATTGATTCTCTCCGCTGGATAACTCTTCTTCATCAGAATCACACTCGAATCGCTTAACAACGTTCCACGACAATACCAACTGCTGCTTACATTTCCATAATGATTTTAAATGATACGGTGTTCAAATGAAAATGAACAAGTATCCATTTACGATAAAACAAAGGTTAGGTATTCTCATATGACAGCAACCTGAAGGCTAAAAATGCGTCTTTTTATTAACGACCATTCAACGGACCGGTTACTGACGTCATCACATCAGCTGTCAACCATGAGTTTCACCGATCCATCAGTGATGATCAACCGATGAATTAAAGAATATACCTACGCGTCCAGCTTTTTTTGACAGGTTGATGACGTTGACATTTGTGGTTGACAACCTGGAAGTTGTGTGTTCTGTGTTTGTGTATTTCTAATTTTATTAGTGTATATCTGCCCCTCATGTACGTTGTAGTTTACTTTTTGGCGCCATAAATATATGAAAAAGATAATTATAAATGTCCGAAATGGAGTCTAATGTGAAGAAATACATCATTAGTGTTCTCACCTCGTCACCACTTACTATGACGATAAATCAGCTGAGTAAGGACTACAGAAATATGCTCGGGGAGGAAATACCATACCACAAATTAGGATACAATTCCATGGAACATTTCTTGAAATCTATCTCTGATACAGTACAGGTAAGTGCCTAGTATTGTGTGTTCACAATCAAATAAGACGAAAAGTATGCCTAGTAAAACGTTCTTCTATTGAACCTCTGTGCTGATTAGAAATAAGAAGACTTGTCACTGTTGCCTCCTAGAAATAAGTGGAATGCATAGATTTATGAAAGGTCTCATTGATTCTTGTTTTGAGTTACTACACTAACAATTTTATATCAGCTTCTGTCATTTTGAATGATCCTAAAACCAAACATTAATTTGGATGTTTCCACAGATTATTAGCTAGTTGTTTTATTGCACGACCTTGCAAATTTGGAATCAACAAATTGTTTCACAAATACTTTCTTTTTTTAAATGCCCATACATTTACTCTTAAAACTTTACAGAAATATCTTTGGTACACATCTCTAGCATTATGGTCTCCTCCATGAGTGTCATTCCATGACAGCTCAGTGGATAATTGTATCAGCATGTTTGACTGACTTGATCTGTTTAATTTGCTCTGCTCTGTATCTGTGTAAATTTTTTCTTAGATGGCCATGATCATGAGCATTGCATCAACCTACTTGATGTCATTTGTTTTAGTAAAAATAACTTGAACTTAGATGAAATTTCTTGGCAGCTCCACATAAAACACCACAGTGCTGCTATCACCTTATGTGTTTGAACTAGACATACATTTACATTAACTCTGCTGATCCTTTCCTTATAGTCTCTGTAGGTTTATTTCCAGTTCAAACAGAACTCCCAAGTTCATTTTACAGTATTGATGATTTATTATTACTCTTTCAAAAAAAGCTTGTTGGTGTCACACCATATATTTATTGGTAAGATATATGAGAATAACATTTCTTTCAGGTTAAAGGCAGTGGGCCCATGGCAACAGTACTCCCTGTCATTTCTGAAAAGTCCAAGCATATAAATGAACTTGTTACAAATCAAAAGATAACTAGGAAAAAGACTTCACACAGGTATATATCTTTATGTGACACTAAAAATTCCAGTTTGGCTTAAAGCACATGGATCTTTTGGAAGTGAGAAATTCAAGACATTGGTTGATACTTCAAAATACAGTACAATATTTTTTGTTCATAAAACCAAATTAATGAATACTCTGGGAAGTAAAGTAGAATTATATTTCATCATGGGAAAATATAATCTCCTGTTTGTCACTCAACCATGACACTTCTATTGTGAAAAAGTACATAGACTTATTAATCAAACTTCTTCAATAATCATTTGTAGAACAATCACATGCTTACTTTACTAACAGACAGCAAAATTAACAGCAAGATAGGAGTTCAGTTATATATTATCTATATGGATAGATTTTTAAAACGTTTAGAGTATAATCAAAGGATTTTGTCAGTCATACAAACTAGGAGAATTGGTAGGAAAAAATAAAACTCTTGAGTAGGTGATTTTGTGAAAAGATGATAGGGAAAAGTGGTTACTGTATTCACCCATAAACTTAATTTTTTAGTTAGTGATATTAAATTGGTATTTTGGTGCATATAGCACATAATATGAAAATAAATCAAATTCTGGTGCTGTTTTTGAAATGACCCATTCAAGTACCCAGTGTCGAGTAGTAGTGCATGCAGAAAGCAACTACCTTTTCTCTCAGTGAAAAAGTCTGTTGCTAAAAATTGACCTAAGCGGTTTTTCAAATGTTTGACTGATTCAGTTGTGTGTTTTATTTTAATCTGCAAGGTCATGTTATTAATGCTAAAACATTTTGTAGGCAATCCTTCCCCATTCAACAGAGGAAACATCTCCAATATCAAAAACCAGTAATCACAAATCCTTACAAACAACCTGGTACACAACCTCAACGCCACAAGATTTTTTATCCACCAAGCGAGAGCAGTTCCTCATATCAAAGCTATCCTGAGAAACCAGTCCAAAAAGTTGATGAACCAGTCGAGAGACCCAATCAGCAACCAGTTCTGAATACAAGTACACCTGAAAATCGTGAACGAAATCCCTCTAAGTTGAATTTAGCGACAAATAAATTGCCCGAGAAGAGCCCAGATATTTACAAGAGGATTGTTGATAGTCATATGCCAAAATCTAGCTCAAGTGTTGAAGAAAAGAGGTGGGTAAAAGGTTTCATCTTATCAAAGGTGTGCGGTCTACTGACTGTTGTTTGAATGTTGGGAAATAATTTAAAACATTTTTCTTTTGATATTGTTGTATGGTTTTTTTTATTCCAGTGATTCGCAAAATTCCCTGGCTGTGGCAGAACTAAAAAACTTTTATTCGATAGAATACCGGCTGAGGTAGGCGATATTCAAAGCAATGTCCCTCTACCAATAAGAGAAAATCTAAAGTTTTTGATAGGACAACATGAAAATGGGATATGGTGTGCAGATCTTCCCAAACTCTATAGGTAAAGACGCCACTTATTCATGCATTTAAAAAAATGATTTGTTTCTAAATATCACTTCTAGAAAAATGTAGTGCTTGTCTATAAGTATTCTGAGAATATGTGGCAGTTTTATGAATAAAGATCTTGAACCTGATTATAGGAATTCCAAGAAACAGAAATGAAAATTAAATCGTCAAGTGTTGATAATAAATTTTAATGAATTTGTTTCAGTCATGTTATTAGTAATATTAATCTTATATTTTCCTTTTATTTCAAGTCAATTAATAGCTTAATGTTGCTAATATTCCACTTAATTTCCTTCTCTTCTACTGTAGCAGACCATGCTTCTTCCAAAAACAAAATAGTGAAATCTTCCAGCCCTAAAAACGCCAAAACTTCGTGCTACTTCTTTAAAATGTTTCACCTAGCTACTCATCTTTTGGAGGAAGAGTGGTAATTTTAAATGAGATTGGTAATTTGAAATATTACTTCAATTAATGTAATGTTTACGACAACAAGCCTGTTCCAACAGAATAGTTCAGAACTAGTTCTGAACTGTAGTTACCTCACACATGTGCAGAAAAATAATTCAGAATTAGTTCAGAACTAGTTCGGAACTGCTTGTTGGAACAAACCTTCAGTTATCTTGATATTTTTTTTTTCAGGTCAATGTTTTGCAAGGATATAAACTATGAAGATTTTGGTTATGCAAGCTTGAGCCAACTTTGCATATCGTTACCCTCAATATTCCACTATTGTCGTCCTTCTGATTCTGATTTCAGATTGTATGATAGAAACAAACCCTTGCCACCAAGTGCAGAGACAAAATTCACTGTTGCCAGTTATACTGTTGGAAGTAAAAATCTAAATGAAGGTGAAATCTGTGCTTTGCCAAATATTGAGGTAAGGAGCATAATATAATAGGATCTAGAAGCTTATTTATTAAGGCTGTGTTAAAGTTTCAAGGTTCAGGTATTTTTTTACTTTTCATCCCAGCTACAAGGCTTTTAACATATTGTGTGTAACTTAGATCAGAATGTAACTGGCATGTGTCTTAAGTTGTCATGGGGCGCAATTTGAAGTATAATTGTGAAATTTTAGTATACCTGGTGGCACTCGCAATGTCAAGACAAATCTAGAAACACCTCATGACTGTAGCCCGTGTAATAGGCATTTCAGCGTTTATTTTTGACTAAAATCCACCATTTTGTTTTTATAAAATTTTAATATAGCCAGTGTGTAAAATAGAATAGTTTGCTTTCTGACTACTGTAACTATGACCCACCGCAGCTCATGCTGTTTTGTCCTTATTCGCAACTCATCAGGATCTTTTACCTGGTATTCCGACCACTTGACACGTTGCCCTGATGGTGCTGCGCACATCTCTGCGCTTAGCTTATGACGTCGAGCAGTATGTCCTAAAGTACGTAAGGGGCCATTCAAGTGTTACATAAGCAGATTTTTGGCAATTATTAACCCACTTCTCAGTAAGCAAGTCTCTTACATCCCCCTCCATAAACATTTTGGTACATTTTACAATTTGAAGCAAGTGGTAGCTTTCACGTGCATGTTCTGAATACTATTTAATGTCTGGAAAATCTGGTTTGCCGCTTCCAACATACTTTTCAGTAACATGATAACCATCAATTTCCATTGCACTCTCTGCTAATGCATTTCCGGTAAACTCGAAATTGTATCTTTCTAAATGTTCCTTAATTGCCACGTTCATCCAGATGAGACCCAAAATGGTCATCAGGCATCAAACCAGCCAGTTCTCGACTAAAAGGAGCCATTATGCACTTTACTCAGTTATTCGCATTTCTACTACGAGTATTTATAGCCAAGGTTCTAAGTGAGTAAGCATATCCCTATCTGGTGAATCCCTGAAGATGCATTATGCTTTCGAGCATCGACAAGCAAGGTTGACGTACAGTAGCAGACAAAGTTTGGAAACATACTTAGTGATTTCTAAAAAGTGCGCTAATTTTGTATTCTTTATTATTAAAGACTATTTTTTTCTCATATAGTTCGCTTACAGTCGTGAGGATACAAATGGCAATGTTTGTTTGCTGTGGTACTTCAGACTAGCATTAAAATACCTTCATATTATTTTATGACCAAAAATGAAACGACAAAAGTATGGAAACATATTTTTTATTACAAAATTAAATACAATAACTCTATAAAAAGACTTAAAAAATACTGTTTAGCTATTATTTGGTAGCATAGACTTTAGCATTCAACACTGCCTGACATCTGCTGCTCTTAGAAGGCACCAATTTTTTACAGATGTCTCTTGGTATATTCTGCCAAATATTATTTACATAATCAAATGATTCCTATTTTTAAAAGTTTTTCTTGCCAGTTCAACATGCCCCCATAGATGTTCTATAGGGTTAAGGTCCGGGAATTGCGAGGGCCATGTAAGAACAATAACATTTTTTAGTCTTAATCAGTCCTTTACGAATTTTGAGGTATGCTTGGGGTCGTTATCTTGCCGGAAAAGGGAGCATGTGTTATGTTTGTAAAGTTTTTGATCCATTTTCTCAACAATTTTAAAAATTGGACCCGTTCCAGAAGTAGAAAAACAGCCCCATACCACCTGGGCCGCGTTGCTGTTGATCCGTATTCTTGATATTTACTAATAATTTTCGAAATCGTCCCTTTGTTCATTTTTAATCTTTGAGAAATGTCAACATTTCTGACACCACTCCTAAATAATTCAAGTACATTGTCTCTTAAATCTTTTGAAAATTCTTTTACTTTTGCCATTCTCACTGATGTTATTTAGAGTATCGCAGAACGAATAAATACGCCAAAACTGAAATATTTCATTACTTTTTTCTACTGTGGTATTTAAAAAAACGCGTGTTTTTATTTTCAGAGAATTTTGATAAGACAAACCTTGTATAAGTGCGGGGGCCAAGGGTAGTCATTAATATTTATATTCTGTTCCTTCACAATTTGAATTCAGGTATACGAAATAGTTCATAATAATGTTAATATGACTATATTTTGTAGAGAAACCAAAAACATAAATAATTATTACTGAGATAATCAGAATCTATGTCTATGTCATCAAAAATAAGCAAAGTCAAGAACCCCGCCCCCACTAGCGCTTACGTAATACTTGAATGCTCCCTAAGGGTATCTCTATTACCTTCTTGGTACGTGGATGATGATGATGATGAAAATCAGCTTGATGAAACCTTTGGTAGGTGGCTATAGTCAGATTTTCATCTACCCTGTTTCTGAAGCAGTTTGGTGAGAAACAAAATAGAAGTGTGTGATCGAATTTGAGATAATTCGCTTGATTACCGTCCAGACCGTCGGACTGTATACATCGCACCGATTAGCGGGTCGATGCTAGAGTCATGGCACCTGATGTGGAAGTATGCATAGTATGTAGTGATAACTTTATAGTGTGCACGAAAAGTAAAGTGTGGCCTTTGCAAGCTTAAATTCCATACGTCATGCGTATTTGTGAGAGACAGCTGGTTAAAAATCTTTTCAGAATGCGAAAATATATTTTGGCTTTGCGACGATTGTAAATGCTCCTTGCAGTCAGTCAGTAATGAGACAAAAACTGACATAACATTATTGAGAAAAGAGTTGGAAAGCGTCAATCGAGAATTGGATTCAACTAAAAAACTTTTAACTAATCTCGAATACACTGTACAGTTGCAAAAATCCCTGCTGAAGTCGTACGAAGAACGTGAAGCTGCAAAATCTCAAGCATGTGGTAGTAGCCAGGTCAATGTACATCAACCTGGTCTTCTTTTTAGTGATATAGTAAAACAGAAGAATAGGGACAACTCATCTGTTCTTTTGGTTCAATCTGTTGGTAGCAACACCTCCGACACAAGTAAAGTGTTAGATGACATAAAATCATCTGTCAATTTGGCCAGCATAACGGTGTGGGGTTCATTGTAAAGACGATGCATCTTTGAACTCATTGAAAACTAGTCTTGATGCAAAGTTGGCATCTAATTATACAATATCTGAGGCCAAGAAATTAAATCCAAGGTTAATAATAAAAAATGTTAATTTGGATGGTATTGATTCGCCAGATGATATTATAACGAATATAGCTACCCTGAATAATTTAACTGTTACGCAAAAATCTCAGATTGAATTTGTTACTAAACTTAGACTTAAGAGCGGAACTAGTGTTGTCATTGAAGTGACACCTGATTTAAGAAAATCCCTGTTACAAATAGGTTCGTTGTTCATTGGTTGGAAAAAGTGTTGCATTTCTGACCATTTGCGCTTGATGAAATGTTACAAATGTTGTTCATTCGGCCATACTGAAGCTGCTTGCAATTCAGAGCTTGCATGGCCTAGATGCTGCAGAGAACACAAACTGAAAGAGTGCAAGTCGGAGGCGCTACAATGCATTAACTGTGTTAATCATAACAAGTCACATAAAAAGAGCTTGCCCACAGATCATTCTGCTAACTTTCCTGGATGTCCTGTGTACCAAGGTTATGTTGACAATTTGAAGCAGCGCGTGGACTATGGGAAGTAATAAAAATGATGTTTTAAAAATTTGCCATATAAATGTTCGATCACTTACAGCTTCTTTTAATGAGTTTTCTTTGCTGGTAAAAGATCAATTTGATATTATAGCTGTGTCTGAAACTTGGCTTTCGCACAGATAGAATTGGCAGAGGTGGTGGGGTTGGCATATACGCAAAGGCTAATCTGAGATTCAGTACTGTTAATATCGATTTTTTTGGGTAACACATAGACAATCTTGTTTCTTTCTTTATGCCTCAATATGATGACATTATTCTTCTTGGAGACATGAATATTGATATGTTCGATACCACTAATGTACTCAGCAGTTGTCTTGATTTTTATGGTTTCAGGCAGGTCATCGATGAGCCTACTCGTATTTCTCGTTTTAGTTCTACTTTAATTGATGTCATATTTTTAAATAATATTGAAAGTGTTCTCAACTCTGGTACCTTAAATGCAGATCTGATATCTGACCACAAACTAGTATTCTGTGAATTAAATATTAAAACCGTTTCATCGGAGGAAACATTCATAACCTATAGGGATTTTAAGAACATTGATGTAATCAAATTCAAGCAGGATTTGGCTGCAGCTGGCTTAGAAGAAATGCTGTATATTACCGATATTAACTCCAAAATTCTAATCCTTTATGGGGTGCTTATTGAGCTTTTTAACTTTCATGCTCCTATTCGGACGGCTCGTGTCACCAAAAAAGCTGCTCCATGGTTAACTTTCGCACTTAAGGTCATTCTTAAGGTGAGAGATGAGGCTTTAATTAAATTTCGTCACAATCCATCAGATGAAAATTGGACAGCGTATAAACAGTTAAGAAATTATTCACTTGCTTCAATCCGGCGTGAGAAAAAGGCATATTTATCTCGCTTTGATAATCTCAATTCTAGAAAAGCTTGGGATCAGCTGAGAGCAATGAATATTTGTCCCCAGAAACACATTGAAATACCCTATGATCTGTTAGACCCTAATGAAGTCAATAACCACTTCATGTTAAATTACCAAAATCTTAATATCAATTCCCGTTTGATTGAGAGTACAGTAGAGTTTTATGAGAACAGCTTTAACAGCCAAGATGTAACTCCATTTACATTTAGAATGATGACCGCTGAAGAAAATTTTGGACATAGTTACCTCTATCAAGTCACCTGCTACAGGGAGTGATGAAATTAATTTGAACATGCTAGGATACTGCTTACCAGAATTTTATTGTATTTAACACATATTGTTATATATGCCTTGAGACCGGGACTTTTCCTGATGCTTGGAAGGAAGCTATTATCATCCCTTAGCCAAAGGCAAAATCCAACCACTCATAATCATTTGCGGCCTGTTAGTTTGCTGTGCTTTTGTTCGAAGGTATTAGAGGAAAGCAGTGTACATTCAACTAGTGGAATAGTTAGAGCAAAATAACTTGTTTTCTCCTCATCAATCAAGGATGTCGTGCGGACATAGCACTACTTCAGCTTTGCTCCATCTAACTGACAACATCGTAGGTAACTTAGACAGACCTATTAATAACCATATTAGTGATGATTGATTTCTCAAAAGTCTTTGATACAGTTAATCACAAAATCATGTTGAGAAAGCTGAAGTACATTGGATTATCTGATATACCGCTAGATTTTTCCAAAGCTACTTGGTAGAAAGAAAACAATTAGTTAAGACGGTTAGGGGCGTCTCTTCTAGTAACTGTGGTTTCGTCTGGCGTTCCGCAGGGGTCAGTTCTGGGACCCCTGCTATATTTAATTTTACACTATAGACTTAGATTCGTGTGTGGAATGTTGTTCTATACAAATGTATGATGATGACACACAATTATCATTTCACTTCACATATGCTCAGTTAAATGAAGTGGTCGTTTAAAATGAATACTGACCTGATCAATATTACGGATTTTTGTAAAAGCACTGTCTCAGGATCAATCCTGAAGAGTTCAAGTATGCTTTTTTCTCCGAAACACATGTATAATAACATAAAGGACGCAATTGTACTCATTATAAATAACGAGCGCATCCCCATGGTAGAACATTCTAAAACCTGGGTGTTATCTTGGACTCTAACTTGAAGTTTGATAGGCACATCGGTTACCTGTCTCAAAAAACATATGCCAAATTAAAACTTTTATATTCCAACCGTTTCATTTTAAACTTTAAGACTAGGAAAAAATTAGTTGAAAGCCTGATCCTGTCATCTTTGCAACATTCTCTGATTTTATTCTATTCTTATTTGGATTCGTCGGATCGGTATAGGTTACAAAAAATTCAAAACGGCTGCTGCAGGTTTGTGTTTGGGCTTCGTAAATATAGTCATGTCTCTTCGAAGATTAAAGATTTAAATTGGTTAAAGATGGAATCACAGTTTGTTTATGCTATGAAGGTGTTTGTCCATAAAGTAGTTCGCACAAAAAAACCACCGTACATTTTAGAAAAGCTAGTACCAAGAGGTAACATTAATCAGAGAAATCTCAGACACAACCTAAATTTTGCGATGCCAGTCCACTATACAGCCCTTTTCCAGAAAAGCTTCACATTTCATGCTGTCAAGTTATACAACTCTACAGATAAAATATGTCGCAGTAAAACAATAGTGCCTTTCAGGGAGAGCTGCTAGTAAGAAACAGCTGATGGGATATTAATAGTTCAAGTGTGCATTTGTTTTCTTTTTCTTATTATTACTATTGTTTGTTTGTGTATCAGAGTTTAACTGTGTTACTCTTTCGTACACAGTGAGGTTAAGTGTAAGAGTAGCCATTTGGCTAAACTCGCCTCACTTGATGTATGCTGATTAATAAAGACATTTTATTATTATTATTATTAAAATCTCTTTGTAATACTGCTTTTTTTAATTACCTTTTTTTGCGGCTGTTATTCACAAGTTTTTTCCGTAACATCTACGGTGTAGTAGATACAGGAGTTTAAAATTTAACTGCATACTTTCAGTGGGACTATGTGGAGAGCTTTCTGCCAGAAAGCGTATATAAACCTGGTAACGAAATACCTAGAGAGTTTGTACCACCTGAAACAAAGGAGGGGCGATACAATCAAGATTGGAGTTGGTGAAGTGTTTGATTTGTCCAAGGTTGGGTATTTTAGATGATGGAAATTTGGACAATCTCATGGATGAATTGCAGTATGTATTTTTGGTTCCAGTATATTTTTACGCAAATATTGACATTCGGATAAATCGTAGCTTAGTTATCTCTAAATCATATTCAAGTAACTTAGAGGCCACATCAGAAGTACGAGGGATGTCGTTTAAGTTTTGCATATAGAAACATATTAGGCCGCGCGGATCGAACGTCAGTACTGAATCTTAACCTTACTCTTTAGTAAACTTAAAATCAAAGTTTTCACAGCAATACGTGCAGTGTTTTCACTACTACTACATTTTTAAGTGTCACCAAGACATTAGAAAAATGGAACTCAACCGAGAACATTTTCGCGCCATAATTTATTACAACTTTCAGAGACAATTATCGCAACAAGAATGCCCTTGCTGAGTTACTGTCTGTTTTCGGCAACGAAGCGCCACATCAGTCGACAATTTCCCGTTGGTATGGAGAATTCAAACGTGGACGGGTGAGTCGTAGCGACGATCCCAGGGTGGGTGCACCAAGAACTGCAGTCACCCAGGAAAACGTCGATGCTGTGCGCAAACTCATTATTGAAGATAGACATGTGATATATCGCGAGATTGAGGCGTCCTTGAAGATCTCAAAGACCTCAATTCAAAAAATTTTACATGAAGAATTAGGAGGAAGAAAATTAGTTTCTCGTTGGATACCCCACCTGTTGACTGAAGAGCAGAAAGCAGCCAGGGTTAATTGGTGTCAAAAAACGCTTGACCGTTTCAATTCCGCAAACTCAAAAAATGTGTACAGCATTTTTAGTGGTGATGAATCGTGGATTTACTGTTATGAACCAGAAAATAAAAGACAGTCGGCTGTTTGGGTGTTCCAAGGTGAAGTGTTTCGAAAAAGATGGTTGCGACATTTGTATCATATTGCAACAATTCCTCTTAATGAGCAAAGAACTGTTACTGCGGATTGGTATACCACCATTTGCTTGCCAAAGTCATCACCGAGCTTCGAAAAATCAATCCCGAAAGAAGAATCATCCTCCACCAAGACAATGCAAGCTCGCATACAGCCCAAAAAACAAGGCAGTATTTAACGGAAGAAAACGTGGAATTATTGGACCATCCTCCATATAGTCCCGATCTAAGTCCTAACGATTTCTTTACTTTCCCGAAAATTAAAAACAGACTGCGTGGTCAAAGGTTAAAGTCACCAGAAGAAGCAGTTGACGCATTCAAAAATGCCGTTTTGGATCTGCCAGCAAACGAGTGGAATAAGTGCTTCGAAAATTGGTTCGAGCGCATACAGATGTGTATTAGTCTTCGTGGAGAATACTTCGAAAAACAATAGTCATTAAAACTACCTACCATGTTGTTTTACTTCCATATGCAAAACTTAAAAGACATCCCTCGTAACATAAGCCTAACCTGTATTTGTTTTGATGCGGCGAACATGACAATGAATATAATGCAGAATGTTTTCATTTTAGGGATTTCTATGCAACAAATGCCTCACGATACTCGATGAATGAAAGTTTGATAAGAGAAGGGGTCTACTGTGCAAAAATTATTTATGGAGAGTATCATAGGGCAGTCATTGTTGATGTTTTACCCGAGGTCAAAGATAGTATAAAGGCAAGTATTCATGAAATTACCTAAAAAAAACATTTTAGCAAAGCTACTTTATATTACTGTTTAATTTGATATAAACCCTTTTTTCCATTTCTGCAAAATGATTTACCAGTACAGTGAGATTTCTTTTTGGTAGAAATTACCTCTAATGACTTGTCACAATTATTGCATAGGGTCTTTCCATTGCGTTTTAAGTAAGAGGTGTGCGCGGGAATCCAATGAATGTTCGCGAAACAAAAATTTTGAAGAAGTTTTGACTCAAAGTTACTAATTTGCCAAGGAAGAATAAACGTTGTAGGCTTTGAAAACCGATCAAGTGACCGTGAAGCTACAGCCAAAAAATAGAAAAACAAAAATTGCCGAAACTTCGTTTTTTGAGGTTTCAGAAACACCAGCTCATTTTCAGATTTTTTTGGTGGGATTTGAAAATTGCGGTTTGTAGTACTTAGTCAAGCTTCGATTTCATTTGAGCCTTTTGAATACACTTGACCCATTTTTTATAGATGTGCATAGTTAACTTTTAGAGGGACCTTCGTTTCAGCAGCTATTGCAAGCCAGGCTCTTACATACTGTAACCATTGATTAACGAATTCTGCAGTCTGGAACCGAAACGGAAGAGAGTAACAGCACATTGTACGCCACTGTTATCGCGCGTCTTTGAATAGGGCTTGGATCCGCGCTCATCGTTTTTGCCTATTCAAAGGCATGTCGCTCTACTCTCTTCCATTTTGGTACTAGGGTATACTTGAAAACCAACCAGTGCCCAGAACGGGATCTGAAAGATCACAGCACCATCTATGATACAGTAGCAGAACACAAGTATGAATTTAGAAATATCCATTGACGGTAAAGTGTTTGGTTCTATGACTCTGGTCTTATAGATAGTGCTAGGATCTTCAATATCTTTTTGGCACCTCTCTAATACCTACAACAGGCTGTGTTGCGGTGGAAGTTCGGGGGTGTTTACACTCCTGAGCAAGAAGAAGAGCAGTGGAGCGACACCTGCTGGAACTGGCCTGGCTCCAAACCAGGAGTCGGACCAGCCCAGACCGACGGGAGCTG